ATTTTTAAATTTTGCTCCATTAGCCATTGATTGGTTGTACTATCTGCACTCAAATTCAAAAGCATAATAATCAGCTTTTAGAAAGTTAGGAGGTGAGATTACGCAAAACAGACAGAGGTGCTTTGATGTTGCAGTTTGTTTCCAAATCATTTGAAGCAAAACCTTTACATCTTTAAATACTGTGTAATCTAATCTAATCATAATCTAATCGAATGTAATAATGTAATCATAATCTATAATGTAATAATGTAATCATAATCTATAATGTAATCATAATATAATAATGTAATCATAATCGAATGTAATAATGTAATCATAATCTAATCGAAACCGTTACTTCCATATCTATCAGCAAAACAATTCTCCAGAAAACAGACATCTGTTCACTATCGCCAGAAACCATTGTAAAAAGGTTTTGTCTGACGCCAAAGCTCGCTATTCCCAGGTCATTAAATCTCGTATCTCATCACAAAAATTAGGCTCTCGAGACTTCTGGAGAATCTTTAACAGTATCAATAATAAGGGCAAATCTGTTATTCCTTCTCTCTTGTATGGTTCAGACTTTGTCACCTCACCTAAAGACAAAGCTGAATTGTTTGCTAAGAACTTTTCATCAATATCATCTCTTGATTCCACTAGTTGCGTTTTACCTGACATAGCCGTCAAACAGGTTGATCCCTTGCTTGACATTCGCATCACTTCAGCTTCTGTATCTAAAGTAATTTCCTGCTTAGACTCTTCAACAGCTTGTGGTCCTGACAACATTCCTGTTGTAGTTTTGCAGAGGTGTTCTCCGGAGCTTTCATCCATACTTTCTAAACTATTTAACAAGTGCTTATCAGAGTCTTGTTTTCCATCATGCTGGAAAGCAGCATCTGTTATCCCTATTTTCAAAAATTCCGGAGAGCGATCTGATTCATCTAACTACCGTCCCATTAGTCTTCTTCCTGTCATAAGCAAGGTTTTTGAATCTTTAATCAACAAACACTTAATCTCTCATCTTGAATCAAATAACTTACTTTCTGATCATCAATATGGATTTCGGTCTTCTCGTTCTACAGCTGATGTGCTAACAGTAATAACCGATAGGTTTTATCGTGCATTAGATAGAGGTGGAGAGGTTAAGGCTATCGCACTTGACATTTCTAAAGCTTTTGATAAAGTTTGGCATGCTGGTCTTCTCCATAAGCTTTCTTCTTATGGTGTAGCTGGTAACGTCTTTAAGATTATTGAGTCCTTTCTTTCCAATCGTAGTATAAAAGTCGTCCTCGATGGACAACACTCTTCTTTACATCCTGTAACTTCAGGGGTTCCTCAAGGTTCAATCCTTGGCCCTATACTCTTTTTAATTTACATTAACGATCTTCCAGATATTCTCACATCTAAGGTGGCATTATTCGCTGACGACACTACCATTTACTCTTGTCACGATAAGAAGCCTACACTCTCTGATTGCTTGGAGGGGGTATCTGAGCTTGAAAAGGATCTCACTTCTGCTACAGCATGGGGCTCACAGTGGCTGGTGAACTTTAATTCAGATAAAACTCAATTTTATTCGGCCAATCGTTATCGTAATAATTTAGATCTTCCTATATTTATGAATGGTAATGTACTAGATGAGTCATCTACCATTCATCTTCTAGGATTAACTCTTACTTCTGATCTTTCTTTTAAACCGTATATCAAATCCATTGCAAAATTAGCATCTGCTAAGGTTGCATCTCTTTATCGAGCTCGACACTTTCTTACTCCAGATTCTATTCTCTATCTCTATAAATCTCAAATCCGTCCCTGTATGGAATACTGTTGCCACATCTGGGGCGGATCTTCTAATGATGCTCTTTCTCTTTTAGACAAGGTGCAAAAACGAATTGTAAACATAGTTGGACCTGCTCTTGCAGCCAATCTCCAACCTTTGTCACATCGTCGTAATGTTGCTTCTCTTTCTCTTTTCTACAAATACTATAATGGGCACTGCTCTAAAGAGCTAGCGTCCCTTGTGCCATCTACTAAAATTCACTCTCGTGTTACTCGCCATTCAATTAAGTCTCATCCTTTTTCTGTGACTGTTCCTAAGTGCTTCAAAAACTCTTATTCTTCTAGTTTTTTTCCTCGAACATCAGTTCTTTGGAATTCGCTTCCTTCATCTTGCTTTCCTGATTCATATAATTTGCAATCTTTTAAGTCATCAGTCAATCGTTATCTTGCTCTACAGATTTAGTCTTTTCTCTTCCAGTAACTTCCAACTCTTATAGTGGTTGCTTGCAGCCTTGTTGGAAGTGAAGATGTTAAAAAAAAAAAAAAAAAAAAAAAAAAAAAAAAAAAAAAATTTAAGGAAGAAATGTTCAACTTATCCAAGATTATGGTATTTTTTGTGCAATAAAGGCGAAACGGCCAGTTTAACAGCTTTGTGTGCATTTGAATCTTTGAAATCTTTGAATGCATATCCGTCGCACTTTCTCAACATATTTTAGATTTTATTATTTTTTAACTCTGGTTTTAGGGTGATTAATAAAGTAACTTTAAAAAATCCCTGTTTTCCATCTACACCTAATTTGATGTCAACATTATTTTTTACCTAATTTTTGTAATATCTACAATCATATAATGTAGACATTCTGAGTTATTAACTGAATAATCTTTCCAGAATATAGTTTTAATGAGGTTTCAGTAGTCTTTATAAATGTTGTTTCATCATTATTTAAAGGATTTAAATCCTTGCTTTTCCCAATGCAGTAAATGCAAAACATTTTAACAAAATTAACTTGTTCTTTTGCATGATTTGGCATTTTAAATAAATGATTAAAATAGAAACATCTGATAGAGTAAAAGTACCACAAACCGGACTGCGTAAGAGCGGACGCTTATGGAAAAAACTAAATATCTTCACTAAAAATAAAGATATTTGAAAAATTTTAAAAAGTTTTTAATTTTTACTGTGTGGAAAACTATAAATTTTTTTAAAAAAGATATTTGTATGATTGCTTTAATAAGATATTTAAGTTCAAACAAAACCTAACCCTAAAAATCTAACTTTTTTTGGAAATTAGGTTCTTAGCATGAAAAATTTAAAAAGGCAATTTAAAAACAAAGGAAGGTATTTTGTTGGAAATTTTTTGCTAATTTCTAAAACAGTTTTAGAATTTTTTAATCTTACTCCTTTAAAAAGTTATGACGGAGATAAAATTTTCTTCAGTTTTCACCTTAAACCAGACACAATAAATCCACCCTATAATAAATTAAAATTTAATAGGTTATGTTTATCATTTTTTCTGTTTGTTATTTTTTCACTCTAATTGAATTTTTTTATTATGTTAAAGTTAATTTATTTTATTATTTTTTCACACTGACTGAAATTTTTTCATTTGTTTTTTTTAAGTTTCCACTTTTGTGTTAATTAATTTTGTCCTTTTGTACTTATACTGTTTAAGTTAAAACGCAAAAGTACACAAAGTAACCATAAAAGTGCATTATTTCTTCAATTTCAAAAATCTGTAACTGAATTGAATTTACTAAACTTAAAAATGGCAAAAGATAAAACAAACGAGAAGCCTTACACTAAGGAGATAATAAAAACGAATTGAATAACATTGAAAATGGCGAGTTAAGCTTAAGAGGCGTAGCTCAACTCTACCGCATACCAAAGTCAACTTAATTCCGCCTGCAACTTCAAATTCAATTTTAACTTTAAATATAACTTCTCAAGAAGAATTTGCAACTCGTGTAAAAATTAGTCTTGAAAGAGCTCTCTTGAAGCAATTTCAATTCCAAAACGCTTACAAGCATCCTGGAAAAAAAAAAACAGAAATGTAAGAGCAGTGGCTGGTCAAGCTTTTACAGAAGAAGCATGGTTAAATAAGTTAAGAGAAGAAGAAGACGCAAAGCTGTTAAAACGAACATATGTTGATATTGCAGCAGCAGATGTAGAAACTCCTGCCAAGAAAGCCAAAAAAAAGTACAAAAAATGCAAAAAGTGCCCAAATGTTTTCGAAAATGAAACGCCAGAGATGCAAGTTTTATGGAAAACTTGTGAAAAATCTAGTTGCAGTTCGTGGCTTTGTGAACCTTGTCTCCCAAAAAGATATATAAAAGGCGAGGAATTCTTTAGCACGAAAAGTTGCAGAACCTAGTTTATAAATTTTTTATTATTTTTTTAAGCTCCAGCTTGCTTATATTTTTTTATTTATTTTTTTCTAGTTTTTTCTGCTTGTATTTTTATGTATATTTTTAAAATAACAATTTTAATAATTGAAATAGTAATTGTAATAACTAAATTATAATAATATAAATAACTGAAATAGCAATAATAGTAAATAGTTAATATTGTTATTATATGTTCAGAATTCACTTTTAAAAGTCAAAATACATGCTCGAGATCATGATTTTTTTAATGCAGTTTTGTGGAGTTCGATCCTCCGATCCTCAGTTTTCCTCAGGATCCTCCGATCCTCAGTTTTGTGGAGTTCGATCCTCCAATACCTGTCTACCGCCTTCCCAAAGGTTCCTGAAAAGAATTTTTCAATTTTGTGTGTTTTATTAAACAAAATAGAAATTCATGGACAGGTGTAAAAAATTATAAAAAAAAAAAATTGCCTAAATGTTACGACTATTCAAAGTTATTTTAGGGGGAAAATGAGAAGAATTTTATACTTTGCATGCTCATAAATCCTAATCGAAAGGATGATAAAATTTGAAATCTGCTGATGAATTTTGATCTAATTTATGACGGAACTTAAAAAAAAATTAATGAACTTAAAATGCGTAGTTTTAAGACGGAGACAATTAGGGGTCGGGACGATGTTGGGTTACCTCCGATTACTTAAACTTTTTGTTTGTCAAGTCATCCTTATTTGACACAAGTATAATTATACTAGAAATTTGAGTATACTTTTTACGTCGCCGGAGAAAAATGTTGTTTTTTTACATTTAGGTATTAAAAGTAAGTATATTAAGTAATATATTACGGCTTATACTAATTGTGATATTTATATTTTTTTTAGAAATCAGTATGAATCTTATGCTTAGGCAGAATAAATTTGCTTCATGGATGTTTATGGTTTTTAGTTACACTTTTTTCTATTTATTATATTTATCTTACTTTTATTTGTTTAACTTTACTTTGTATATTAAAAAAAATTAAAAAATAAAAAACTGTTTCATTTTTGAATGCTAATTTATCCAATTAACCTTGGCATTATATTTAAAGTGGTATTATTAATCTTTGTTGATAATACCACTTTGGTAATTTCTTACCAAGATTTTTTCAACACGTTGCCTTGTTAGACATACTCAGTTAATATGTTTTTTTAATAAATATGGTTGAATATGAAATTATCAAACCAAATATTTATAATGCGGAGAACCCGTTTAGTTTAGTTACTCAGTTAAATTTAAATTTAAAAAGATTGGATCTTAATATCTTTCTGTATTCATAAAAGTTTTATTACAAAAATTAAGTCGTCCATTAAGTCGACGTCCATAAAGGACGTCGCCTTTTTTTAGACAATTTGTGACCCCTCCCCCCCCCCCTTCCTTTTCTTTTTCACCGGTTGTCCAAATTGGGACCCCACCACCACCAATCTCTCTTTATTTATTTTTTTCAACAAAATTCGTTCTTAATTTAGGCATTTTTATTAAAAAATTTCAAATTAATTACATTTTTTTGTTTTTTATTATCATTTAGTAGCTTATTGGGTACTTCCACATTTATTTCAGTTGTTTGTTCGTGTAGGCTTCTCCGGAAAAAAAAATTGCGGCCATTAACTCTTTTTTGTACTTCTTTCCTTTTCTTCGCAAACAGATCTAATTTGCAAAGAGGGTAATAGTCATTTAGTTAATAAAATTGTAATGGTTAATGCTGACATGCTTTTTTAACATGACTTAGGAGGCAAAGTGCAAGTTACAATGCTAACAGATTTTCTGAGGTAAACTTTATTGCACAGAGAGACAAAATAGATTGTAAGGAGAAAGTTTAAATGATTTTAATGATTAAGGAATGGTGCTCTGAATATTGGAGGCAATCAGAAAAAATACAGAAAGAAAACGATTCTTGCTGGTGACGTCTGAAACGGCTAAAGCTTTTAAGCCATCTTCTGACTGGCAGATCGGAATAAGTGGATAGTAGTCACAAAGTTTTTCCTATAAACTGTTGTTTTAAAAAGCGCGTTAATAAACCAGACCAGAAAAAGTTTTAAAAATTAAATTTTTTTTTTTAATTAATAGACTGCCTGGCCAAACCAAACCCTCAGTCGATGTAGCAGCACTCTCTTGCGAGTCAGGCTACTTGTCAGTCGATGTAGCAGCACTCCCTTGCGAGTCAGGCTATTTGTCAGTCGATGTAGCATCACTCCGTTGCGAGTCAGGCTATAAGATAGTCGATGTAGCAACACTCCCTTGTAGCAGCAGGCTATAAGATAGTCAATGTAGCAACACTTACGCACGTTTTAAAAATGTTTTTTAATAAATAAAAAAAACACCACTAACTAAAAAAATTTGCGGTAATGTTTGTAGCGAAAAAATCCAGACCGATGATCCTTTTTTTTTTTTTTTTTAATTATTTTAAAATCACAATCGCTCGTCCAAATTTGAATAAGATTTTATATTAATAATTTATAATTATGATCTGTTCTGATCGTTTATTTATAATTATAAGCTCTTTCTTGGTCGGAATTCTAGTATTTTTTGTGAAAATTGATAGAAATATTGTGTTTTGACAACTGTATATAGTTAATATACGTCAGAACCGATTAGAACTAGGATCAGTAGTAAATTAAGAAACTTTTTCAAAAGATTTTAACTAAATTCATATTAATGCCGATTAGCGGAATTAATCTAAAGACTTCAAAATAGTGTTCTTTAGATACATTATTACAGGTTGTAAAAAGGTTTTGAAAATTATATAAAAAAAAGAAAAGTTTCTTTAAATATTATAAAAACCTTAGGCAAAAAAAATTATAACATTTAAAGACCTTGTTTGGACATAATACGCTGACTAAACCATGCTAATTCCAAATAAAAGTATTCGAATATTTTGTAAATCGCCTTAACTACACCGAGTTGGAAGAGTTATTTTAATTAAAAATAATCGAGATTTAATTCAAGAGCTTTTACCAAAATAATAAAATGCAAAACAAAAACATTTAATTATATAAGTATATTTATTTTTTGAAAAAACAATTTTTTTTTACGCATTTAAATGCGTAAAAAAATTTATTTTTTCAAAAAATTGTTTTTTACATTTTTTACATTACAAATTATCAAAATACAACAACAGTAAATTTTGTACACCTCTATCTTTAAAAACGTCATTCGATTATATAATCTAAAAAATGTTCAAAATATCAGTGATCCAAAATAAGAGTGATGGTTTCAAAACAACCATTAATATACTTGTTATTTAAATTCTATTTCAATAGGTTTTATAAGATGGTAAAACAGATTAATAATTTAAAACTTAAATTAAACCATTAAAATTATTATGCATAAAATATATCAAACAAAATAATTGAATTATATATCTTCATAAAAATTATTAAATAATATAACGAAATACGCATTAAAAAAAAAAAACTTTTTAACGAATAACAAAAACTTACTAATTAAAAAAAAACATAACAATATTCAACTTTGTTTTTTTATACTGGATAAATACGTCATGATAAATCTGAAATAAAAAAGTAATGGAACTATGATATAATATTGAAGAAAAAAACATATCACATTTAAAAATTGGAAATCAATTTACCTGTTTATTTATGGTAACCTTTTGTGATATTGAATCAAATTATAATTATTGAAAAGATAACTATAAAATCTGTTTAAAAGATTGAAAGCAATAAAAATACTAAAGATAAAATTAAATTAAGACATCAACTGGATTTATAGCAAAATGTTGTCTTGGCTTTTAGTGAATGATTTAAAGGAGTCTCTGTATAAAAGTACATCTAGCTCATTTTTATCGATAGTCACCAATGGGAAGGTAAGCCAAGCTGTCTATCAACACAAATTACAAAAATAACATCACAACAATACCACACAAAAATAGGACATATTTGCTATATGTATCGTTACTTTATTTACTATAAGATCGTTGTAAGTATACAGCTAGGCTGACAAGCCTAACTACCATACTCTACAAGTTGCTAAGTGTCACCAATTTGAAAACAAAGAAACAATTTAGTAGAAATATATATACAAAGCTATAAACACATTTAACTTAACAATAAATTCAATCTTGCATTACACATATAAACACATATAACAATTATAAACATATGCGACAAACAGGGCTGTCCTGAAGGAAGAGGGGGATGTAAAGGGTGTCCCACACCCCAAAGCTAACTCCCTAAACTCCCAAAGCTTATATATGTGCATTTGAGTTGGCACATTGGTACATCAGCATAAAATACGTGTTTGCAATTTACGTACAATCAACTTTCAAGTTTAAAAATCTAAAGACTATCAATAAAAAGTATTAAAAAATATTAGATTATTTGGGTAACGTTTTCCACCTACCATACCTTGAATGTTAATCAATTTAGAAAAACCAACTATTAAATCCTTCTTGTATGTTCTTGAACAGGCAACAATGTTCTTGACCAACAAAGTATATTTAAAAAACCTGTGTTTTTTAAGATATATATTAACTTTATCAAATGTTTGACCTTAAATTCTATTTTCATTAAATATGCCAATAAAACTGATAACGTTTTAGAACATAAATTAAATTAAAAACTAATGGAGCTACCTGAATTTGAGCAACAAATACATGTTTACCACCAGAAACATCAACGCAATCTTTCATTCAGGTTTGTGATCTAAATTTCTGAGTAATATAGTTACACAACCAATATTAAATTTTAATCAACGAGATTTACCTGAAGGAGTTACCTGAAGCTGTTTAAAATCCGAACAGGTAAGTTATTTTTTTCATTAAGTTTATCAGTCACAATATTAAATATAACTTATTTTTTTGTTTCATTTCTTCATTGAATAATGATGGAGCTACATTAGTGTATATTAAAATTAAAACTTAAAAAAACAATGGGGCTTCACAGAATAAATTTTTTTCAAAGTTATTTTTTGTTTTTTTTTTACAGATAATACCAACTTTGTTTTGGAACTTTTACAAATAAACTATTTTCTTTTTGAAGTTCAATTTGGTTTTGCTTTTGTTGTGCTTCAATTTAGTTTTTTTTTTAATTTTAAATATTGTCAGCCATTATTGTTTGTTATGGTGGCACAGGTAACTAACTAATTTATAAGGCTAAGTCTGTATTTACGCAATAAAGTATCTAGATTAGGCAAACCTAGTACTATAAACATATTTGAAGCGCTTGAGTACTTGTCATATCCAAAAAACATTTTAGCACATTTCTTGTAAAAAGAGTCTAGCTTTCAAGCGTTTCTTGAATAGTCTGATTAGTATGTTTGTGCGTGTATATAGACATTTAGTCTATCAATTTATATCAGCATTATTAAACAAACTATTTTTTATTTTGTGACCCAGATACTTAATTTTGTCGATGAAAACAAATTTACATCCAGTTAAGGTAAACAATGAAAAATTGCTTGATACAATCTTACTTCTCTGTTTTGGGTTAAAGACCATACACACCGTTTTTTTTTTGTATTAAATGACATGTTAATGACAGTGATTTTAGCATTTAATGCACTTAATAATTTTTCTAATTCAAACCAAGAAGGAGAAATTAGTACAATATCGTCGGCATATGCCAAAAGATTCAAAAAAGCTTCACCTATGTTAAATCTAATATGTATATTCGTAATATTGAAAATCAGTGTTTTTATATAAAATGTAACAACAACAACAACAACAACAACAACAACAACAACAACAACAACAACAACAACAACAACAACAATAACAACAACAACAACAATATTAAAACTTTAATAAGATTTTTATTTGATTTTTATTTAAAAAGTATTGAGAAATTTGTTGCAGATTTACTTGAAAAACAAAGCAATGCAAACTTAGGTGAAACCAAAAAACTTTTGAAAAAACAAGAGAAAAGCTTTGAGTCTTTAACAGCTGCGAACTTGAAAATGTTCACTGAGAGACTTGACAAGTACGAAAAAGAAAATATAAATAACGTAACAAAAATAAATAAATTCGAAAA